TGTATCACTGTTATGGGATTTTACTGTATCGATTGATTTTCTTTTGCCTATTCCATCTGTGGTCTTTATTTTCTCCAGAACACATTATTTCAAAAGGCCTGGTGTTTAACTGTGTGTTCTCTGAAAAATGTCAACTTTCTTTTTGGACAGCAGGAGCCTTTTTGGTTGTTGCTGGCTTGATTCCAATGCATTTATGTGCAGGCACATTCAAATTGTAAATGCTCACAACAGTTATTTGCAGATGCTGTTGTAAAACACTGGGGTTCTTGAATATGTCTCTTTGCCTCAGACGGTGTGTTGCTGGAAGTGAGACTGTGTTAGCTTTATGGACAGAAGATGTAGGCATAGACAAGCGCTGAACGTTTTCTGCTTTGGTGCCCTCAGGAGCTCATTACTGCTCTTCGCAGAAGCTGGAGTTCTTCTGGCTTCATCAGGCAGTGACCTCCACCTTGTACTGGATCAACTTACAGTCGAAAGAGAAGTAGCTGGGATGAGAATTAGCACTTCCAAGGCTGATACCATGGTTCTCACCCTGAAAAGGGAGTTCCCACTCCAGGTCGGGGAAGAGTCACCATCGCGAATGGAGGCGTTTAACTATTTCAGTGAGGCGAGACATTGACAGAAAGATTGCAGCAATGTTAATGATGATGCAGAGGTTTTCTTGGTCTGCTGTGGCAAAGAGGGACCTGAGCATGAAAGTCAAGCTGTTGCTTTGCCAGTCAAGCTATGTCCCTACCTTCACCTGTGGCCACAAGCTCAGGAGAATTAGATTGTGGATACAAGAGACAGACAACAGGGTGTCCTGGGTGTCCCTTAGAAATGTGCTAAGTGGCTTGGTCAGGTGCTCGGAGTAGAGCCACTAGTCCTCCAAATTGAAAGGAGTCAGTTAAGGGGGTTCGGACATTTGGTCAGGATGCCTAGAAAATTTCTAGGTGGTTTTTTGGCCATGTCCATCAAAGCTCTAGAGCAGGGGCGGGAAACTCCAGGCCTCAAGGCCCAGTGTCCTGCAGGTTTTAGATGTGTCCTTGATCCAACACAGCTGATTTAAATTGTTAACTGACCTCCTCATGTCTTGAAGTTCTCCAGAGGCCTGGTAATAAACGAATCATTTGACTCAGGTGTGTTGATCCAGGGTGATATCTAAAACCTGCAGGACACCGGCCTGGAGTTCCCCACCCCTGGTCCAGAGCCACATGGCTTTGACCTTGGTACGATGATACTACATACTCAAAAGTGAGCAAAACAGCAGAACCTTGATGTCAGAGCTTTAAATAAGATGGGTTCCACTAGGGCTGGGC